TAAAGATTTTATTTATTTATTTGACAGAGAGATCACAAGCAGGCAGAGAGGCAGGCAGAGAGAGAGAGGAGGAAGCAGGCTCCACTAGAGAGCAGAGAGCCCGATGCGGGGCTCGATCCCAGGACTCCGAGATCACGACCTGAGCCGAAGGCAGCGGCTTAACCCACTGAGCCACCCAGGTGCCCCTTTCACACATATTTTGTATGATTGAATTCAAGAATTAATAAATATATTAGATTGGAACACTAACTCTCCATTCATTGCCAAACAACATGGATTTTAATTATTTTTTATTCTTTTTATGTGGTATGGGTGTGTGTGCCCAAGTTATTCTCAGTTTTGAATTAGGAATAAAAATTCCTCAGGAAAACATTGCTGAGGAAGCCAAGTATTAACTGCACCAGATCAAGGAGAGATTGGTAATTTGGACTAATTGGATTTCTTCAAATTGTTCACTTGAAAAAGGTGATATAGTACTAAGCAAATCCACTTTCAGTTAAATTTAAAATTTTCAGGAGCTCCTGGATGGCTTAGTTGGTTAAGTGTCTGCCTTCAGCTTGGGTCATGGTCCCAGGGTCCTTGTGATGAGCCCCCAGTATATTATCAAAGTGCTGAATCATTGTGTTATTACACTAATATTATACTATGTATTAACTAACTGGAATTTAAACAAAAATTTCTTTAAAATTCTCTCACTTTAAAAAGGTCATAATTTTTTAAATTTTCAACAGATAATGCTACAAAATATAAATTAAAAGAACAATTTCCCAGTCAGAAATTCATATTGGCATAGGCATTGCCCCTAATAAAGGAAAGCCAACAGTCCCATTGTAAATCCATAAGTTGCATCCTAATATCAAACAAGTTTTTATTTTCTTAATATCCAAATAGAAAATCTTTTCAATTTATTGATGAAAAATATACATTGTCTGGTAGGAAATAAAATGTATTTTATTAGGATAACTTTGTATTCCATTGAAGCTATATCACAGTCCAGTTTCTGCTCTCAAATCCTGCTTCCTTCCTCTCCCTTCCATAAGTGTTTCTCCCAAGCACACTCCATAACAAATAAGACACGTGCTGATCTCCATCTCAGAGTCAGCTTTCCAAGGAACCCAAAGGCTATATCCCCACCATGTAGAGACAAGGAGACCCAGGCTTAGAGGGATTATGTTTACACATCTACTGAATGAGAGGGACAAGATGAAAACAGGCCTAAGTACACTATCACCCCATTGTTTAAATCTAATTTCTATCTTCAACCCCATTTGACTCCACTCCAGTTCTACTTACTTCTATTTGATAAAATGTCAATGACCAATACCCAATAACCTCTTAAAATTTCTATATCTCTTAAAGAGTTGAGCTATAAATCACTTAGAAGTACTGACATCTCAGAATCAGGATTGCAGTGGATTTTTTAAAAACAAAGATTCTTATATTCCAGGAAAAAAAAAAACCAGTTCTGAAAATTAAGCATGACAGAAAATAAGTCATGAGGGAAATAATCAGTGAACAATGTTTTCTCAATGTAATAAGGCAATCAATCTTATTCATAATTGCGGTTCCTTTTCCATGAAATTAAAAAATAATGCTTTATTATTGATAAAGTGTATATGTGAGTATGCATATTTATATATATAGTAATATTATCTATATAGACATACATATTTTAAAACAATGCACTAATTTGTGTTAACATGGTTTTACCTAATTTGGATTATGACTTTATACTATAAAGTATTATTAATTAATTTCAATTTCTAGAGTTGGAACATTAAATTGTGTTTGTGTGTTTAACTTTGAAATAGCTTTTCAATGTAGTAAAGTTTTCCTTTCAATAGAGAACATCAAAAAATGAGGGTGAATAGAAACCTAGATTTTATAAGAAGCCAAGGAAAAATAATTAAGTTTACTTAAGGATTAAATACTTATAAGGTTTCATAGTACATGTCTCTTAAAATGTAAAACAAACTTTACAAGTATAAAACAATATGCATTTCATAGAAATTACTTATATTACAATAGAAAAATGGAAGTAAAAAGAGGTATCTTAGTATAATTTCCTCTAATAATAATCTTCTTGAACGTCAGAAGTCTCATGTTAATCCATACTTCTTATGTATAAATAATTATACATATAATTATATGTATAATTTCTCTTAGATTTTTTAATATTTTAAAGATTTCCCATTGACTCCCAACTTCTACATTTAATGGTTCTTCTGTTTGGAGCTTCTGATTTACCATTTGGATTAGTAAGTCTAGAAGATTGGGAAAAGATAAAAAGTGAATTGGGGAACTGAAAAGTTTATCATTTCCCCTCACCACTATCTGTGGTGTAAATCACTTCAGACAGAATCTGTCTAGACATTTTACAAAAAGGAAATGGAATTCCTTTCTAAAGGTTGTGCAATTTAGACCGATGGTTCCAGCCAGATAACTGAGGGTTACTTCAGTGTGAACAAATCTCTTCTACCCTAT